AATTTTGTAGATCACGGCCGTTAGCCAATCAAAATCGAGGAATTCCGTGAAATTTTGGTGCGGCAGCTAGGTTCAATATTGAATAGGATTAGCAATACTAAAACTAGGGCTTTTACTGTACGTATATTATAAAAACTGATTAACGTTAATGAATAAAGCTGAATGAGCCCTAACTAAAATTGAAGGGTTTGACGCAATCTGGATCAGTCCTGTGGATAATCAGGTTGAAAATGAAACGATTCATAGTATTAGTATTGGATGACGTGTGTAAGTTCTCGATAAAACGATTCGCTTGTTTTTGTATCACATATTTAATTACTATCGATCGCATTAGATCGGGCTTTGCTAACTGAAGAATTCAAGAATCTTGTTGATGTTGCTCATTAGTAAGCAATTGGATCAATTAGATGAATCAATAACGATAAGTAATTTACTTTGATCTTAAATCTTATAGAAATCACATGGGCCCGTAACAAGGAAAAAAACCTGGAGCATCGGAGATCTATATCTTTTTGACAACGTAAATGATTATCATTGGTTTGGCGATTTTGTAACTATGATCTTATACATTATAGAAAATTTTAGATCTTTCAGGAGCCAAAACTTGTGACTCTTGATCTTACTAGCATTGAGACCAATACCAGTAAAATCAAGTCGAGATACTGAATTGCTAGAATTTAGACAATATCGATATCTGAAAAAGTTTCAATAAATTACGAAATGTATTTTTTAAGATTAACAAAATCTAGAATACATGACCTTCCATTTGCTCGGTGCATATATACGTGGCAGATGAGTACAATTCAATAAAAGTGCCTTCTAAAGAATGAAATGTAAATTCCTAATATGTATTTGTTGGGCTTTTAAAAATTTTATATCAGGATGAATTTTATCTTTCCCTTTGTTTTTTTTTAAGACAACTTCTTAAAAACAACGTTCATAAATTGAAATTGTTTATAAATTTCTGAAAGCTTTTTTCTTTTATCCAATAAGATCCAAACATCTAAAACTGGTATATCTTATCATGATGAATAATTCTATATACAGTATGTAGTTGGTTATTCATAATTTTTTTAATCCTGAAACAATCAGAAAAGTTCAACATTTGGATCCATTAACTAGTTTTCACTTATAAATTTGATGGTATCCGCATTGACTGTAAAATAAGTGATTTCTGGAATGTTACAGAGCTATTATTGTACATTTATGTATATACCTTAATGGCTGCTACATCTTTACTTTTTAAATACAGAGATATCCACATTGGATACCAGATCATATTTTTGCGCGAAATGCTTGTCTTTGGTTCTTTATATGATAGCATAAATATTTATTTCATTATTCCGTGATTTATGTTTTTTTTTTTTTAAAAAAAAAAGAAGATCCAATCATTCATCATGGCACTGAACAACATTTCACCGGTTTCCCGATTGGTTTGGATCCTTTTAATCGAGAAACACTCTGGTATTCAAATTACGTTATTAATAAATACTCCCATGTTTAAGTAAATTTCAGCTCTGAATCTTCTTCGAAAATACCTTCCTTCTGCTTATTATATCTCTTTTACAACCGAAGCTTGGATTGATACAAATGTTTATGCATTTGTTAAATATAAGCTATTGGTCGTCATTATGAATTATGGGTAAGGTGAGGTAATTAATAGTGGTGTATATGTATCGAAAAAAAGTATTACTATTCAGTGAAATGGGCGTTAGGGAAGAATTGATTAAAGTTGTGAATTATACAAAAGTGTTAATTGATCTTAACGGATAGATCAATCAAAAAATCAAAATCATATATTGCCTTGGGGTTATTGGTAAGTGCTCTTAGAACAAATTCGAAAGTATGAGTTGCATGGGTATCTTTATTTCTGCTACCTCATTTCCTCAGATCCTTAACTATAATCAATATTCAATGATTCACAATAAACCGATTTCATCAATTAATAAATAATAAAACAACGACCAACCTCTCAAAATTTCGAACATATGCCGATACGTTCAGATTAATTAAACGTTAATGTAAATTTGGCACGTGATTCTTCTATATAAAGGAATTAAGTCTTTTTTTTTAACGAGGCTTAGGGACAAGTTTCAATACACAGCCACACAAACACAATAAATCAACATCTCAAAAACGTTGTCGTATGTGCGTACATGCGTACATCGTTCTATCCACTTTGTAATTTCGCAAATGAATAATGATATTAACCATCCTTACAAGAAAATTTTTGACAGTGAAGGGAAAGATGAATTTTATGAAATAGGATACGAAACCGGTAATGGTGTTGGAACATCACAGAATAGGTTGCCTCAAAGTAAATTTAGGAGAAGTTTAACGCATGAAGAAAGTGTTGACAACGACAATGAAAATGAAAAGACAAAGACGACTAATGAAGCAGAAAGCAGTCTTAACTTGGCATGGATAGGATTTAAAAAGTTCCTTGGATTTGTTGGGTAATTTACTTTTTATGCTCTTTTTTTTGTATATATAAAATTGTATTTATTGAATTTATATATTTTAATAGACCTGGGTATGGTAAATGTTTTTGGATGAGAAAACTAGTTGCTTATAATCACTTCTTTTTAAATGCAATGATCATTGTTTTTACTTATTTATTTATTTATTTACTTTATACCTTTTTTTTTTTGAGGTTATAGTTATCGCTGTTGGATATTTTGATCCCGGAAATTGGGCGACTGATTTAGCAGGTAGTAAAATATAAGTAATGTTCGACATACTGACTTTAGAGGATATTACCCTGAACATAGAAAAAAAAAACAATTTTAGGTGGATCTAATTTCGGATACTCGCCTCTTTTCATAATTTTATTATCAAATCTTTTTGCAATGTTATTACAAAGCTTGGCTATCAAGTTAGGCACTGTCACAGGAATGGGTATGTAAAATTTTAAAAGTTACTAATATAAAATTTTTCAATTAATGTTTACAATTATTATTAAATCATTATAAATTTAGATCTTGCTCAAGCATGCAGAGTTTTTTTTCCATCATATTTGAGATACTTTTTATACATGCTATGTGAACTTGCAATCATTGCAACTGATTTGGCAGAAGTCATAGGCAGCGCTATTGCTCTAAATATTCTTTTCAGCATTCCTTTACCATTGGGAGTTGCGATAACCGCATTTGACATTATGATAATCTTACTAATTTATCGTGAAAATAACCTAAGATCTTCACGAATTTTAGAGTCTCTCGTGATGATATTAGTCAGTATAATTGGTGCTTGCTTTATTGTGGAATTATTTCTTTCTAAACCAGTTGCAAGCCTTGTGTTTTCAGGATACTTGCCTAATTCTGACTTATTCACTGATTCTAAAGAATTATTCGTTTCTGTTGGCATAATCGGTGCGACTGTTATGCCACATAATCTTTATTTACATTCACATCTAATCAAAGTTAGAAAATACCGAGAAGAATCAAACGTATTGAATGACATAGATAATAGCTTAGAAGCTAACCAAATTGAATCCGATCAAAAAGTACATTCGGTCAAGATGATGATTAAAAAAATAACCTACAGAACCATTAAATTATCTTCTTTAGATTCTTCTGTAGCATTAATATTCGCAATGTTTATAAATTCTGCGATATTAATTGTTGCTGCAACAAATTTCTATTACAATAACAATACTACATCATCAAAGGTAGCTGGTTTATTCGATGCTCATAATCTATTAACAAAGTATCTTGGAGGTTCCGCAGGTATTATATTCGCCTTGGCGTTATTAATATCTGGGCAATCCGCGACTCTCACAGCCACTATAGCAGGACAAGTTGTTATGGAAGGGTTCCTTGGTTGGGTAATACCTTCGTGGATGAGACGACTATTCACACGCGCTGTCGCTATTACACCTGCAATGTTAATTGCAATTATAAATGGGCAAAATGGACTATCATATTTACTGGTCGTTAGTCAAGTAGCGTTATGTGTTCAGCTACCATTCGCTATTATACCATTGGTTTATTTTACTAGTGCTAAAACATGTATGACTGTTGATGTTAGAAATGCTTTTAATCCTAAGAGTGAAAGGGAGGATGAAAATGAAGAAGGTAGGGTTGTATTATTGACTTCTCTGATACCTACTGAGTCTAATGGTAATAAATTACCGCACATTTCGGTGGATGAGAAATATTTACTGGATTTTACGAATCCGGTTTGGTTAATCATTATGTCGAGTATTGTTTGTTTTATTATTGTTTGCTTGGATATATTTTTGATATATTTCACCTTCCAAGGAAAGACACAATAGTTATAATTCTATTCTTTAAAATTTTATAGTTTTGATGTTTTTCTTCACAAGTTATTTTTAATTAATTTTCTTTTTGATATTTGTTTTTTCATAAACTATTAAATAGAGATTATTTACTGTACTACATCATGTTTATTACAATATATTCATGTCATTATGAAATTACTTTTAGATTGTATTAAATAGAGTCAAAATGGACTACTTTTAAAACTAAAATTACGCGCCAGCACCTAAACTAGTTTCTCTAATCGATTATTAATTATATAAAACGTTCTTGATACAAGAAAATCTTCAAATTTTCAGATAATAAGCCACAATACTGACGGATATTTTTGGAAGTTTTCATTAATTATATTTTTATTTATTTATTTATTTATATTGGAAATTCATATCTGATATCTTTAAAGATTTGTATTTATATTACGTATATACTAAAGTTAAATTTATTTATTTATCTATATATAACTTTGTTACTAAGATAATTTATTTTAATTTTTAAATAAACTTGTTCAGTAAAATATTTTATATAGATTTATTAAGGGTAGACGGTATGTAGATCATTTTCATATGATCAACACGTGATTTTAAAAATTTACTATAAAATTGAAAGTTGTTACTAATAAAACTTTTTCAAATTACAATAAATT